GCCATCACTAGTAGGTCGGAGGCCATCGCTTCAAGGTTGGAGGCCATTGCTATTAGGATGAATCTCAGAAGAGGCTCAGTTGTGCTGAGTCGAAACATGTCGAGATTTCGCTGGATGTTGTTGTTTAAACCCATGCTACAGTATTCCATGCTACAGTATTCCATGCTTTTGCCATCTTATCTCTCGAGTTTGGATGTGCCATCAATTGGTGAACCGGTATATGTTGCAAGATCTGTAGCAACGGAACAATAGCATTGTTTTCTGGAATGTTTATGGGAGTTGATCTAAAGGTGCGTGTAAGGGATTTACCTTTTATATAATAGATTCTAATAGATACTCTCCGAACCATCAGCAAAAGATCCTCGGTGAGGTTCGCGAAAGCATTTGTCTCGCAAAAGATTTATCGAAGGTCTTGACTTTAATGTTATTTCCTTTCTACTAACCATCATAATATGACATATGGGAGAAATACAAGACAATCCTCCGGCAGAGCCGGTGGGCGGAAGTGTTCGCACATGTCCCCACTGAAGCCTCAACGTTTCCTTGCGCAGCCCTCACAGTGCGTAAAGGGTTCTTTGATTCCCGTCCCCGCTGTCACAGACTAGCAACCGGACAACCAAATAGCCTCGCCAACATAGGCAGCCCGGCAGCCCCCAGTTTGTGAGGCTTGCACGTGATCCGCGGCCTCTTCTGCGTGATTTGCCCCTTGGAGAGTGATAATTGGTGTTCATCGAGCATTGAACCACGGATGGCGGCTAATGCGTTCGTTGACTTGTTTGGCGGCCTCAGTGGCCCGTAGCCTGAAAACCATCAATATCAGAATCAACTTGGATCAGATTCATGTTGATTCATGCCCTTTCTGCATTGCATGCTGAATCAACATATGCAGTTGGCTCTGACATCTTCTGCCCGCCCGGCCGCTGGTGAGGTCAGGAGCGAGTTGGCTGGAAGTACGAGGCGAGTGGGGTAGAGGGAGCTCCAAAGTGATTTGGAGTTGCTGCAGCCAGTAATGTTGGACTACTTGAGTTTAATAGAACCACTCATCCCTGGTGAGCTAAGCAGAATGGGTGAAGCATGGTAGGTTGAAAGATGTTGAAACACTGGGAGAGTGAAATAAAGTGAAGAGTACTGAAGAGGCAAAGCGGTGAGAGTTGAGATGATCCTAGGTAGCCTTCGAGGAAGATCAGAAGTACAAGGACGGCGCTCACGAGGGATGGAATGGGAGGAATGGGTGGATGAGGGGAGCATGGTTGGCACTTGCTCTTGGAAGAGCCATCCCAAAGGATTTTGTTCAAGGTTGAATCCTCGAAGCCTGGCTACTAGGTTGGAGGCCATCGCTATTAGGCAGGAGGCCATCGCTATATAGTAGGTTCCTTTTGCTAGTAGGTTAGAGGCCATTGCTATTTAGGGTGAATCTCAGAAGAGGCTCAGTTGTGCTGGCACCTTGAAGCCTGGCACAGACAGGGACTTGTAGCTCAAAGTCGAAAAGACGAAGGCAGTTGATTCTGTAGACTTGAATGTCGCTCGAATTCCCAACACTGAGTCAGGCAATTACGGCAACGGATACTGTTCCCCAAAGTGGCAGCTGCAATTTGCCAGGAAGGTCGCTTTATTTTGGAGGAAGAGCTGATGCTCTCCACCATGTAATCCACACGATCTTCGACAAGTGCAAGGAGATGAAAACGATTGCAACAAAAAGACAAGCAGCTCGAAGCTAAAGATAATGCCAAGTGTCCTAACAGGTCCCAACGTCTCAAGATGCTTGTCGCGTGTCCAGGACCTGATAGAATCACAAAGACTGAAGGATTTTTTCACAAGCCGATGTCATCATTTTCTTGGGTCTGAAGACTTCAAGACGGCTTTCTCTACATGTATACCCTGGGAGTCCAAGACTATTCAAAGCATACGTAGTCTTTAGGTGACCAATATATAGGAACTTCCTTCACTTCAGTGCGCGAAAATATGATCCAAGTGGACCTCCAGTGACTTCCAGGGTATTTAAAGAAATACATGTTGGGGAATTCGTCAGGGTAGGTATGTTGACATGGTATATTCCTGACCGCACAGACCGAAACTCTCAAAAGCAGAGCCTCGACGAAATAATCGGTCTTCTGGACCGGGCACAGACCGGGTGGGCGTTTTGCGGCGCAACCGCGCGAACCATCGAACGGGCCTTAAGAACGCCCCATGAACATAGAACAGCGAACACACTCCACTATATCAGAGGTGGTAGAGCGATTGATTTGATGGCGAAGTTTGTGCAGGCTGCGCCTGCCACAGAAGTTTGAAGACAAAGTTTCTCCTCAAACATGCCTGTACATAGAGAGTAGCGATCGGGCAGAAACGAATCGCCGGCAGAAACACCCTGAACGGTGCTAATTAGTAGTATTGGATTGTTGTGAGTTGCTGCAATATGTCTACATGACCACCAAATAGTTGTCCAGGTCTTGGTGAAGTTCCAAAATGACCTGTTCTCGTCCAGTTTCGGGGTTCAGGTCCTCTGGTCCACAGGAACTTTCCAGCTAAAGCAGGGCCTCATTTGCAGCCAGGGGTGAACTCGTCGTCCTGTCAGACCGACCCAAGACATCGGGCATCCGGACCGGGTGGGAGACCGTTTGGGAGACCCGCAATGGGTTTTTGAGCAATTTTTTGCGAAGCTTCCAGTGAGTCTTTGGGAGATCTCTCTATTTTAGACACTCACCCATAATGGCTGTTCAGCAAGTTTCTTCCACAGGGGAGACGGACCCAGTTCCTGTTCGTGTTACACGGACATGCAGCTGACTGGAACTCGAGAGATTCGCCGATGGCGTAAAAAACGGTCTGCCCTTTGGCTGCTGGACTCACTTGGTGGTGCTTGACTTTCAATGCCACCCATTTTTTTGGACCACGGCCCAGAGGTGAACAGCAGAGAGGTGAACTTTTGAGGCTCGGCCTCTCGGCCCAGCCGAGACTTTTCAAGGAGAGAAACACTTTTGTTCGAAGCGTCCACGGGGGGTGAACTCGTTGGCATTCACATCGGGCTAGTGGCCCAAGTGGCCCAGGTGGCGCCGTTTCGCGCCGTTTCGCACCGGGATCATGCAAAGACGGAGAAGAAACAGGAGCTACTAGTATAGCTTCTGGTTAACTAGTAGCGATGGCCTCCAACCTAAGAGCCATGGCCTCCAACCTAGTAGCTTGGGTAAATTCCTCAAACAGCTTGTCACCGGAAGTTTGGCAACTCCATTTTCCCTTTCTACAGCCAGATCCCTGGAGTGGGTATGGTGCCGGGGGCTCTTTGTTTCTCCAACTGAGAGCATCGAACTCGACAGCAAGCAACTTGTAATCAGCTGTCATCAGCTATCGCCCATTTTTCAGAGCCTCCCCAACCCCCCTTCTCCTTGGGCCCGTCCCCCGGCTCCACCGGCCGCCGGCACCGCACCATGCCGCGGATGCCGCGGATGCCGCGAGCTGAAGGATGCCAGGTCGATCCAAAAGGGGCTGCGCAGTGGGAGGCTTCCGTGGCTGAGCCAAAGCGCCTGGCTCCTTTCACCCGGACCGGTGGACCTCCCGTTCCCAAGACTGGTCATTCGGTCTTCCTCTCTCAGTCACGGGTCAACCGGAACCGCTCTCCACTCACGGCTGACTCCGTTGGACTCGTTTTGGGTCGTTCACCGTCCAGGACATGTTCGGTGTAGATCACTCAGACAGGACATGGAACATGGGTTTCTTCGTTTGGTGTTCATTGTTGTGTTTGTTTTGTGTGTATTTGTTTGGGTAGTATGTGTTCGTTTTGTAGGTTCTACACGCATCACCTCACCTGGGAACAACGCTGCCCATTGGCCTGTGCGTTGGGTCCATCCGTCATCGATGTCGCAGCCCGTTTGGCTTTGCGTAGACGAATGACCTCAGCACTTACAGACTTTCGAAGGTTGTTACTGCTTTACCGGGGAATTCGACTTGCCAACGTTGGCGGATCTGTCGGACAGATCCGTCTTCGCATATCGCAAAGCAGATCGCAAGCTTGCGGCAGCTGGGAAATTGGTTGTCCAGAACCCGAAAACACTAAAAGGGATGAGTCCATGAGTTTGGTTTCAATTTTTGTTGTGACGTCTCTGCTTTACAAAAGGCGCGACGAGTTGGCCCAATATGGGGCTCACAAGCGCGATGGATGGGCCATGATTGCCCCGGTGCATGTCTTCGCCTTCGCAGCCGCTGGGATGAAAGTGTGAGTCGACTGATGGGGTTAGCTGTTTGCTCTGCGAAAGCAGACCAGGACCTGGTCGGTCGCCCCACAAATGCCCACGAATTCCAGCAGCATGGCCCTGGTGTTGCTAGAACAAGGACGGTCAATTCCTTTCGGTGCTCTCGTTCGCTGGCCAGCTTCCAGTTTCCACGCTGGGAAGGTTCGAATCACATGCCATGACATGCCTCTCAGTGGACCAATATGTTATGTGAGATCACAATTCCAAAAAACAGAACACAGACAGATCCAGGAAGAACATCATCCAGTCATCCCAACAATTTTTGTTTCAAAACTGGATCCTTTCCTGTTCTGTTGGACTGCGTGGAACTTTCCTTCCCATGTTCTTTGCATGTTCTTCCTTTTGGAAGGTGGCTCTGCAAGACGGTTTCTGGATCTTTCTCGTGTTTCACATGCTGGTGGGCGCTGGTGGGCACTCAGGATTCGGCTCATCCAAGCCTCTGTACCTTGGCCTCCTCGGTGGCCTTTGCGGGAGGCCGTCTCAATGTCGCCTGGGAACCCGAAGCCGAGACTGTGAACTCTGGAGATTCCTTGGAGGTTCCTCCACCTTCAAATCCTTTAAAAAACGATTTAGTTCAGTGCATTGCTCGTTCAAAAACCTTCCGTAGAACAAGGAGAAGATCGCAGGATCGACACTTGTAGGATGAGATCTTTCGCTAGCGAGAATCTGTCGAAGTTGAGGCTATGTCATGTCTTTTGGGGAGCTTCTCTTGGGCGTCAAGCCAGGCAAAGCAGACACAACCCTATTGTATCTTCTTGTGTGTCCATAGATACCTGAACCTGCAATGCGGAGCTGCACAAACGAATAAAGAAACATCGTGGAGACTGCAATGAATGACGTTTTTTCAAAAAGGCCTACTCCGCCTACTCCCATTTCTGTTCGTCTCCAGAATGATCCATTCTACGCAAGTAGTCGCTTGCTCGAACCCGATGGATGGGAAAAACTTGCTTTGGCCCCTCGCAACCTCAGGTTGGTTTGAACTCAGCAGCTTCTGCCTCAGAGTGTCGTGGGCATTCAATCTGTGTATCGAAAGCAGACCAAAGACTTGTCTTCACTTCAAGGGATGACCACGATCCGACATGATCCACGGCCATAGTCAAGTCTGTGTTGTTCGTCATCCGAACATGCAAAAAGGCCTTTCTTCCATGGTCCCACCCACTTCGGGAAACCAATCGCCATGTCACCAAATTTTGGTGAAACAAGGAAAGCTCTGGTGAAGTTCCACCCGAGGCGGGAGTCAGAAGTGAGAAGAGAATCCAGCGTGAAGCCAGCCTTGAAGAAAACAGATAGGGAACCATTGGGAACGTCTAGAAGCGTCCGTTTGGGACCTTTTGTTCTGCTCGTGTACAAAAAGAAGCTAGTAGGTACAAGTGCATCGCTTCTAGTAACAAGTGTCTTTCGGATGAGGTCCACTGCATCTCATGCAGGCAGACGGCTAGGATGCTTGACACACATCCGCAAGACGAGTGGTTTGTCAACAACATGACTTCATCCAAACCGGGGCCCTGACGGGTCACCTGGGATTGGTGGGGCCAAGTTCTCCCCCCGTCGTGCGTCTAGATGACCCTTGTATACCCTAGTAGCTTATTGTTTCTAATAGCTTCTTGTTACTACTAGTAAGGCCCTTGCTCCTAGTAGCGATGCACTTGTTCCTAGTAGCTTATTGTTTCTAGCGAGACGCCTGTAACATGGCAGAGCTTTCGAGGCCCTGGAGGTGATTGCAGAAGCTTTGGCAGAGCAGGGCCAGGACCTTTGCATCATGCTGTCCGTTGAACGTGCCGCTTCCTGGTAGTGGCAGATTGATTAGGAGAGCATCGTAGAGTCCGTAGAGTCTGGTTTTCATTTTGGATTTGGGCTATTTTGCTCTGATGTTGTTCAGCATTAGGATGGCTGCGTGTCCCAGTGTGTGCTATTCAGGAGAAGGCGGTGGAAGGACAAAGAGTGTCGACCACCCTTCATTGCACCAGCAAAGAGGAGACTGATTCTTCAGATCGACAGGAGTAATCTTTCAAGATCGGCCGACTGTTCAGTTTCGGCGGTTTCGGGATGCTGCACCCCAAGCAAGCTTCCTTTATGACCTTTGAGTTTTTTGCAAGAAATCAGAGATGCAAGCCAGTGCTTTGCCCAAGAACAAAGGCTTTCCAGTTGCTAACTGCGGAGGAGTGCTTGAAAAGCCGTGGCTTAGCCAAGGCAGGGAACTGAAAAGCCTGGTTGCGGGCCTCTCTTCTCCTGCAGCTTCCACTGTGAGATCCGCTCTTAAAGCAGCTTTCTGATATGCAGATCGGTTGGGCAGAAGGTGACATATTATTCGCAGACACGAGCATCTCCAAAGAAGCGACTTGGCTCCAAGCATCTCCTTTCGCTCCGGATGGCAACCATTCAGTTCCAGGTGCGAAAGTTCTTGGCCGTGGGATTGCCCAGTGAAGGTCGTCTAGCTTGATGAATTCGCGAGCTGTTCGCGCCTGCCAGAGACTGCGACAGCGAGCGACAGTTGAATCGACAGTCGACAGCGCTGTTAACAGGCCTATATAAGTAGTCTGTTATAATGTCTATATACAATAATATTATAGTGGATTTGGGGATTGTTAGATTTTGGGGATGCGAACTGCAGTTTCGGTGTGAGCATATCGCATGAACTTACAACTCCAACTTCAATCCAGAGTCTGGTGCGGAGTGATCGGAACGCCTTTTGTCATGCTAGGATGAGAAGTGCACATCGCTTTTTTCCTCCAATGCTTCTCCGAGCAGAATTCAGGTTTGGCCACACTTGAAGGCATTCAGTGATGACGATTTGCACGATACTCGGACTGTGTTGAGTTGTACTCATTGATGTGGGTCTTTTAGATTTGAAGTTGGCATTCTGTTTCTGGGTGGGCCAAATCGAATCACAGAATCTTGGCTTTTCTAGAGCCATGAGGCTTCTGATCATGGATGGCTATGACGTCTCGTGCGGGAACCCAGGTGAGAAGACCGTAGTAGAGTCTAAGATTTTTGCCAGCCATGTCTCACGTCAACGGATCGCCATGGGCAGTGTATACAGTGGATCGCCTGGTCATGCCCGGCGGTTTTCTGAACACGAAAAGACCTTTGAACATGCGGGTTTCTTGATGCATCGGTTGCTACATCTTTTCCTGCCTTTTGAAACTGATAGTGATGGGGTCACTGGGTCATGAATTTTGGATTGTCAGTGGTTGCGTTCATGCGTTGGAATCGCAATGCAGCACAACTTGTTGCTTGTTATGCAGACTTGCATGCATTTGCAGGCAGTCTCTAGGTTGCTCAAAAGGGATATTATCTAGTCACCAACTCCCCTGTTTTGCCCGAGCGAGAGGCTCGGCCCACCGCGGTCACAGGTTCGAAGCACCCAGCTTGGAGCATTTGGCCCTGGCCTTCCAACGCCTTCAGCGCGAGATCGGGTGCGCCCAGCCGCCGAAGAGGGCTTCGGAAGTCGTGCAGTGTGGGGTAGAGAATGATGAAACCAATAGGGACCAGATCACATTCAGCTGCTGGAGTTCCCTTCTCATCCAACAGCCAAGGTCTTGCAGTCCCTTCTGGCATACTCATGCGGAGTGGAGTCTGTTTAGGCCCAGTAAGATATGCGAAGCTGCTAAGAGCAGTTTGCATCACTTGAGACCCAAGCTCTGTTGGTAGAAGATAGAAAAGGAGTAGCTCCCTCGTCCACCACCGACAGACCTCAAAACGGGAACCATCTATCACCAGCTTACAAACAAAAGTGAGGGTATCACGGGAGGCACTGCCAACTCTGACCCATTCTGACCCACACTGTTTGAAGCTTTTTTCGTAGCGTCTTGTTCCTAGTAATGCCAGGAGCCCCTAGTAACGTCCTTGTTACTACTAGTAAGGCACTTGTTACTAGAAGCGATGCACTTGTTCCTAGTAGCGATGCACTTGTTCCTAGTTTGAACAGATGTTTCTACATTCGACTTTCTAGGCCTGTGATGAGCCTCCCGACTGGCCCAGTGATCTTCAGTGGTGAAGCGAACTGCGACCTGGACCAGAAAAGTCGAGCAGTCGTCAATCTTGGAAGGCTTTGGCTTCGTAAATGGTATGAAGATCTTAGTTTTGGTATCATGGACAGTGACATTTGGCTCAAGAATGATGCCAATAATGTCAATGTGTTTTCCTTTTCAGCATCATTTTTCTTCAGTGGTCTGCATCCTGCCTCCGGTGCCTGCAACAAGGTTGGCCCTTCCCACATCCTTGGGGACCGGAGCCCTTTGTGTGTGGGCTCCAAGGGCTCTCCAAGGGCTGCGCGAACCGCGCGAATTGGAGCCCTGCTTAGCATCCGCATTTTTCCGGGTCCACTCAGGCACTTCGGAGACGACTTGATCCGGCGGTTGGACCACCTGAGGTCCGGGGACTATCGACCCAACTTCATGTACCAGTACGAGCAACGTGAGATGCGTGGGAAGGAGGCGTGAACGGCATTGGTATGCATTTCTTCAATTTGAGATTACCTGACATGACTTCTTTGCATGGCCCAATTTGTCGAGGTGAACTGCTTTGCTTTGGGCTTCGGCTTCGATGTCGTTGGCGGCCCAATCGAGGTTTGCACCTTTTGGCGGCACCACATGGTCCACCCATCGAGAGTCATTGGTCGAGATGGGCACAACCGCACGCAGGCGGGACGACGGTGACAGGTCATGGTATTTGACGCATCCAAATGTGACACGCCGAGAATCCATCGGAGACATGGTATTTGACTTAGACTCTTGATCAAAAAAACCTCCCTTTGAATCAGGATGTTCATTTCAACTTGGGGGGGTCTATTAATCAAGAGTCTACATTATTTGACTTTTAAACTTAGGGGCATCGAGGAGTCACACAACATCCTCCGCTAGTTAGGCCAAAAGCCCTCCTAACTAGCTCTAAAATGCCCTTCCGACCTCCTCGGTCATGTCTTTCTGGGACCCGCGCCGGCCTTCCGACCGACCTGCACAGAGGTGCTGCCGGTCTTTTTGCCCTTCCTAAACAGTGGCGTCTTTATGGGACGAGCTTCTGCCTCAGACGAGCTTCGCTATGAACTCGTGGCGACACTGACATGAACTCGTGGCCTGGTCCGTTCAACCAAAGTTGAAAAAAACAACTGAGCTCTGTTGTTGTTTGTATATGTTTTCCTTCAGCATCAGTTTTCTTATTCTGCTACTGCTTATCATCTTTCTTTCTTTGTGTTTTTTTCCTTTTCCTTTTGCTCTAGACCCGTGGCAGCTTCCCCATGTCTCGATCCTTCAAGTGTGCTGCGTGTCCTTCTTTGAAGCCTCATTTCGCATCGAACAATCAGCCCTTCACCCTCCGAGACAAAGAACTTGTTTCGTTCTTTTGCATCTTCACCTTTGTTTTTTGTCCCCTTTGTTCCGAAACAAGGCCAGAAGCCTACAGCAGCTCTTTGCCTTCACGACGGAAGTGCTCCTACGCTTCGGTGACTTCGACGATCAGGTGACGTGGCGACGTATGATACAGTGGTGAACGGATGTGTGGTGGTTTGGGTTGACTTCGCTGGTGCTCGCTTTCCCACCGGCCTCAAGGTGCTTCAAGTTTACTTCCCCTAATTAGACCAGCAGACCTCTTGCAGTACCTCTTGCGTGCGCGGTTTGGTCGAGGCTCTGATCACTGTTGCCGCCCTGCATGCCAAGTTCTTGAGAAGACCCTGGGCCGCGGGGCCCAGTTCGACAGACTCTGGTACCGCGGGGTCTTACCCCCAGAGCTTCATATCCCGAAGCCTGCCCTGTTGCCAGGCAGGATTTACCAGATTCTGATTGGGTTGGCAGCTTCATATATTACTGTGGCAGCAGATTTGAACATGAATTGTCACAAAAAAGGGAACTGTCCTTGTTTGGATTCGTTGGATTAGTCAAAGGTAAATTACCAGACGCGAAACTGATTTTCAACTGCTCTCCTCCATGGCTGCCTGCAGTGGCAAGCTTGTGGTTCTTACCAAAAGGAATGATTGAAGCATGCACGGCTACAAGCCAGTCCTTGGGCGCTCAAAGGAACAATAAGCAACTGACCAAATGCTTCATGCTCCAGCGCAGCTCCGTGCCCAGGTCCCCTTGCAAGTGGTGGCTCCGGCGAACTTTGTGGTGACTGGATTTCACGGATTGATTCGGTTCAAGAAGACGCCCGTTGTGTGGCCGCCGGTGCCCCCAGTGTGCCCCCCATGTCAGGACCACTCAGGTGAGCTCTTTGCATCCCTCCATGGACTCTCACCGGAGCGTTTGTCCAATGATCTCAAAGCACCTCCCGTGCGAAACTCAGATCTTTGTGGGGGAGGTTGAGGACGGGTGAGAGGTTAAGACTGTCACTGTCAGTGCATAGAAGTCATGTCATTTGTTTTCCAGACATTACATATATGCACATGCATGCATGCATGATGTTATCATGTTTTTTAATCTACTTCGAGAGTCACGAGATCTTGGCTGGTCGATCTCAATCAGAGTGTTCTTTGCGACTGCCTGTCGCTGCAAGGCCTGCGATTTCAATGGCAGAGTGGTTGGCACCTCAATGTCCGCGTGCGGATCCGATCCTTCGATGGATACAGTATACAATTGAATCGAAGCGGCACGGGCTTCCGAGGATCATGGCTTCTTCAAAGCAGGGAGCCGGCCTGGCCCATGGGACCGGGGTACTCACGGTGGGATGAGTGGCGGGAGGTGCTGGGTGTTATTGTGTGACTTGCAGTTGTATTAGGATCCGGATGCTGCGATATATGTTTCAGTGTTTCAGATAAGGGACACAGCAGAGTCTCTCGGGCATGTTGACATGATACCAAAAGTTGCTTATATGTTCTCGCTAGATCTCGCTCGTAGGTTGGAGGCCATGACCATTAGGTTCCTTAAGGTGGCAACGGTGAAGATGGTGAACATGCTGCCGAGGCCGCGGCGGCAAAGCAGATGGAGCTTCGAGAACTTCGAGGCAGCGATGTCTGCGATGTCTGACCTCCGGGGTCTCCTCACTGTGTGTGGAAGCATACTCCTCACAATGTGGTGGTTAGGTGTTTTTTCGTTAGGGGCTGAATCATTCGCAAAGAAAAGACACCGAAAAACACCTGCCTGATTGCAGACATGTCCTTTTGGAAACCCATGTTTGGGAAAGAAAAGCCAACAACTGTTGTTTCCAGCTGCCTTGAAGGCACCATTCCGCCCAAATCGGCCACCGCCCTTGATTGACTTGCACTCAGATGGTGGGTCAGACTGGAGCGAAGATGGTCGTTGCTTCAATCAACAGAAACAAGGTCTTCAGGTCTTACTTACTCGCCAGCCTTGGGTTTCAAATCTCATTAACTCATGGTCTTACTCGCCTCATGGTCAACATGGATCTCAGAAAACGAGACAGCATGTTCTGATCGCACAATCGGATTTACCATAAGCAGCGGCCAAACCACGTCTTCAAGATCGCCCTCCGCCACCCACGACCCTATCGCCTTGCTTTCCAACGGGTGAAAGCCCACTACCAGCCGGTCTCAGCCCACCAAACCACGTCTGAAACGAGCGCGAGAGTTCCTCGCCCGGAAGCGTTTGATCCGGTCTCAGTGGCATTTCAACGGCGACAAGAAGGAATACTTCGAGACGAAGTGTCATGAATCTGTGGCCATGGAGGCGACGGACAACCGGGGTGGTGCGGTAAAGGGGGGTGCAGAAGATATGACCTGGGTTGCTTGCAGTACTTACTGAGTGGCTTACAGTAACTATAGAAAATGCATACCATAGAACATGGTTACTGGTGGCTTACTAGAAAGAACTGGTGGCTTCATAGTTTCTGGAGGCGTTACTACTTCATAAAACAGAACATATTAACCATACTTATTCTTCTGGCCGCTGTTTCGCCGTGATCCGCGCGGTTTCGCCGCAGCAAGGGTGAGGCCTTCGAACTGGATGTGCCTGGCCCTTGCTAGCTGCTAGCTGGCCCACTCAACAACTCTACGTGACTGTACCTCCCCTGTACCTCCACGCGCCAAAGAATTGTGGCTGTGTGCGCACAGATCGTGCCCACCTTGAATGAGAAAAAGGGTGTGGGGTGTGGCTATGCGACCCTTCCAGGGTCTAAGTGGCGAGGAGGTGCAGGATTTCGTCCATCAGCATGTCTAGAGATGTCCAATGTGGGCACCCCAAAGATGGGAAGAAACCGATGCCAAAACGGCACCTGCTTTCATTCATCGATTCCCTGCTAGGCCTCGCTGATGGGACACCTGGGCCACTGCCTGATGCCCAAGAGTGCACTGCCTGACCGCTCTCTTTCGGTGTTCGATCCATTTGCCCAAAGACCAGAGAGGATGGAAGACAACTTAGTTGTTTTTTTCCCAGGTGATTGCGATCCGTGCCAGTACGTCGTGATTGCGTTAGTCAAATTCGAGCTTATCATATAGTTTAGCATAGTAACTTCGTCACTCTCTTAGCGGTCAATGCCATCCAGGCGTTCTCGATTGGACTCCAGGCGTTCTCATGGATGTGGACCATGAGAGGGAGCTTTACTTTCTGGTCCAAGGACCTCAGGAGAGCGGTCTTGAACTGCCGGTTTCCTGCGGAGAGAGGAAGCAAGGCCACACGGGAGGCCGACCGTCTCTCTGTGCGAGTTCCGTGCGTGCGTTCCGTGTCTTCGCCGTGTTTTGAGGGCTTGCTTGCGGATGAAGTGCAGAGAATTCTCTTGCGTTTTCTGATTTCTGTATGAATTTTCTACTCTTCAACAGCTTCACAAAATGCGTCAATCCCAAAAACGACCGCATGTGACCAGCATTTGCAGGAGACCGATGTGCAAAGCCGCAAGGCGCTGTCTCTGCGATTCCCTTTTTTCTGCGTATCAAACGCTTCAAGCAGGCGGAGGTTGTCTAAGCTCTCCATGCAGCCATCGACGAAGGGCTGCTTGTTGGCTTCACTTGCAGCATGTTCAATCCACCTGTTGCTTGCAGGTTGCCTGGCACAGGCTTGATGGGTTGAAAATGGTTGAAACATGCTTCTCGTACTCCCGAAGCACTATGGAAAACCCATGAACGTGTGTCTCTGAGGAAGGGTGGCCAATTTGGCATGGAATGTTCTCGTTCGAACGAACACTTTCCGTTGATGTCCCACTTGGTTTCCGAGTTGATGTCCCACTTGGTCCTTCTGGACACATCAACTCCAGGCTTTGCAGGAGAACTCCAGCTCCACCACATTTGACTCAGTTGGCGGCCATCATGGCGGAGTCGAGGTCGACCGTGTGGCAGGTCGGACGGATCATCAGAAAACAGCAACAGTGGGGCGGCAGGCTGCGCCAGTGGCTGCGCCTCGACTCTTACATCCAAGCAATTGTTGGCCATAGAAAACAGGGGCCTGATACCAAAGCTGGGTCTTCTGCTGGGATATTTAACCAGGCTAGCGCCTGGCAGCGCTGACCCCCAGGGAAGCGGATGGCCTAGGTTTAATGGGTTAAGAGTTTTTTTCGCAAAATCGGGGAACCCAAAAAACAACACGGAACCCCTAGAGACATGATCTGTCACTGCATCACCGAGGTAGGCAGAAGAGAGCACGGCAAATGGGTTAGCATTTTTCTTTGAAAACCTGGGAACCCAAAAGCCTCCACCGGCACACTTGCAGAATGCGAGCACAGCACTAGAAAAGAGCAGAAAAAGCTTGCACGTGCGGAGCGCATAGAGGAGAAACTCCTAGAAAAAATCCTCGAAAACACCTTAGAAAAAAGAGTGGAAAATCTCAGGAAACCACATAACTTCCTAGAAAAACCATAGAAAATCCTGGAAAGACCCTCGAAAAAGGCATGAGTAAATCTTACAAAAACCTTTGAACATCCTAGAAATCCAGCAGAAAACGTTACAAAATCTAGGAAAAGCCAAGGGCACTGGCAGGGACCAGGCCGCAACCAGGCCGGGATTCGAGCCCGGGACCATTTAGGGACCGTGCTTATTTTCCCCCGTGGGTGGAGAGGGTGCCCCAAGATGTAAATCAATTGGAATGGAGAAATCTTGGACAATTTTTGGGCTAATTCTTGGCTAATTTCGCGACCTTTTCGTCACTTAAGCCAAGCTCCGAAGGGGTAGGGGAGGTATAGCCTTAGCCTTTACTTATATGATTAGCCTTAGCCTTATCCGTTCCCGGTCTTTTTATCAACAGTCACACCGGGGTCGGCGGATTCCTTCTTCAAAGCCTATCCTGACACCTTGGGTTGCATTTGGGTCCAGGTCATTCACAACTTGCTTGTACAACTTTGCCGAAGTCCTGTGATGGCTCGCTTCCTCAGTTTCAATCTGGAGAATGCGGGAAGCAAGGATTTGACTGAATAAAGATCAAGAACCAGCCATGTTGTCATGGGAAAACATGCTTTCAGCATGCGAAAGCCATCGGTCTGGTTCGGTCAGACGTTCGGTAAGAGTGTCATGAAAAGATCTTTTGCTATCATCACCTTTACACAATGCAACCCAAATTTTGCAGCACTGAAGTCAGCAACCACCCAAACCGGATGAAGGAAGCACGGATCGCGTACGGTTCCTCCCGGGCACGTCCCGTAATTCCGTCCAATTGTTAAACAATTCGATGAAGCGCCGACTAAGCGACTAACCGATTCGATAAAGCGGTGATGCTGTTATTAGCACTGCTACTACTGCTCCTTTTACTACTATTCATGTGGAATTTGGTTTCTACTGTTGCAAGATATCACTGGTATGTTCATCCATCATACCACGCCGCTACCATGCCTCATTGAAGTTTGTGGTGCAACACCTGAGGGAGAATGAACACCACTTTTGTCTTTGTAGACATACTTGCGCTTCACAGGATTGCCTATTTAGTGCTCACCAAGAAGGATCAACGCTCACATTGGCATTCAACAGCTTTTTCATTGACACGACTGTTTCATGCAATCATTGAAACTCAGTGGAGGGAGAGAGAGAGTTCTCTCCAAGGTGAGCTACATCAGCGTGAGTGACCCCTTTACGAAGATGCATGAAAGGCTGGATGCAGCTGAGACTGTGTGTGTACACCTTGCACAGCTTGCCTTTTGGCATAGCCTGGGGACCAGGCAGACGGTTGATTCGTCGTGAAGCTGGCGATGTACCAAGGGTGGCCCCGAAACCACCAGCGTTCACGAGCATTCTCAGCTGCCCCATCTCGTGCGATTCGTGCGAGGACTTGTGGATATCATCCACTTCATTGGCCGGGAGCCTCTTCAGGCAAGAAGCTACTAGTGGCTCCTGGCATCGCTACTAGGAGCAAGGGCGCTACTACGGGATCCTGGCCTTACTACTAGGAGCAAGGACGCTACTAGGGGCTCCTGGCCTTACTACTAGGAGCAAGACTCAATGACTTGAAAGTCTGGTAGTAATTCGATGCCAGCTGAGCAGGCGGCCAGACAGGACCATCACTGTTGGTTACTTAACCATACTTATATAACCCAGTTGCACAAAACGATCCGCTCATACATACTGAGGTTAGACCTTGACTCCACGTCAGCCACAAGGAGAAGTCGTGACAAGAAATGGTGATCGAATTGTTTTCATGACTTGCCAGAAAGAAGTGTAATTAACAAGCATGCTGCTCTTCCTGAGAACTTCAAAATGCCAACCAGGTTTGTGAAAGTGAACCCATCAATCTACGAACCCTGTTTTTGTTGGTAGGTCGTGCCACTCCCAACTCCCGAGTGGCACGGCTGGTAGCCTTTCAGCCTTTCAGCCTTTGCCGTCACCATCACGAGTAGGATTGACGGAACCATTTGAAGACGTTGTGATAGCATATGGACTGCGCTCAAAAAGCCCTACTCAATAAATATAGATAAACGTAAACGTTTAAGGTTGGAGATATGTTTTTAAGTCTTTGTTTAGAAGCGGGCCCCCAGCAGACTATGGTGATACAGCAAGGCAGCGCTAGATTGGCGCTAGGTTGGGGCTAGATTTCTTCATAACAGGATAAGCAAGCAGGACAAAGAAACAAGCAGAGAGCAGGAAAAAGAAGAAGCAAGACAAGAAAAATACAAACAACGCAGAAGAAGAAGAATAATGCGCAACAAGAAGAAGAAGACAAGCAAGCAGGAAACATAAGAATCTGACAGGATAAAGAAATCGACGGATATTTTTGCGCTAGGCTGGCGCTGGATCCGCGCTAGCACCGCGCTAGACGACGGTCCATTTCCTGACCAGTTTCCACTTGCCCATCCAACATCCAAATCTTTTGAGTCAGCTCTTACATCCTTCCTATGTCATCCGGAAGATTTCTGAGAACGAAAATGGGAAAGCCCAGCAGCAGCAGTAGCAGCAACGACAGCTCCAGTAGCTCAACAGGCCCCTGAAAAGGTCCGCGCTAGACACCTCTCACAGTTTTTGTAGTTGACATGCTTTCATGTTTTGCTTAAAGGAGACTTAGAAGCGGGCCCCCATGGAATTGCGATGAGCGCACCATTTTTGGGAAAAGACATTTTGGAAACCAACCATATGTGTCCTTGGCTTTGAGGGCAATCCAAGTCGACTTGACTGCTTAGTATCTCAGGATGGCCTGGCAAGACACTTTGCGGTTGCGATCCGAGAGCCAAGAGGCCGAGAGCCAGGCCCTATAGGCCCCAAAAGGCCAAGCTGGCCCTGAATGCGAATAGGCCAAGCTCAGGGAGCTGAACCTAAAACTATGGCTGTTCACTTGATTGAAGCGGCACTCGTGAGGCAAAAACTGTTTGATGAGGTTGTTTTTTCCAAATCCCAATGGAGTCACTGGACCTGTCGACGTGGGATGTTGCAAGAGTCTAAGAGCAGTCTCTGAGCATGAGAGAGCCAGGCGGAGGTGCCAGACCAACACACAGACCCTGCTTGCATCCTGGTGGACAGCACCGCGAAATGCCAGCTGCGATCCCAGCTGTGTTAGACCAGGTGGATCCTTTTCACCAGCTGCTGCTCCTGTGGATTAACTGAATGATTCGTCCTGCCTCGATTACCATCCAGGACACTCCAGTAGATAGTCTTCTGCTGCATTTTCTCTGAGGTTTGAACCTGATTGGGAGGCATACTGCTCGTTGCATGGGCCCAAGTGTTTGATTATGCATCATTTGCCGGCAAGGTTGACTAGGCCTTTGCATATTGTGTTCTTTTTGAAATATATCTTAATATATAGCTTGTTTGAAGCATTGCAGCCAATAATTCAGGCCAATTCTAGAGTTGACCGTCCAAAACAACAACTTCGCTCTTCACATTTTATGATGCTAATGATTGAACCTTCAGCATAGCTTTAAATTGCAACGATGCTAATGATTGAACCTTCAGCATAGCTTTAAATTGCAACACATTGCTGTAGCCACAGCCAATAGTTTGGCAAGTTGCACCTTTGCTGAAGAGCTTGTTATTGTTTGAAAGCCAATGTACGTACAATGGGGACGAGATTAGAAGGGAATTATTGTCACATACATATTGTATCGCATTGTCCATCTTTTTCTGCCTCTTCTTTGGACTTACACCGTCAGACGTTTCCTTGTTTTCAGACCGTGTTTCTTTTACCTTTTTCTTTGGACCTTTACTGTAGACCTTTTGGTTGTTCATTATTTTCTCTGTTTATGTTTGCAGGTAACCATACTTAAGGTTTTGGTAGTCAGGTTGACAAACAGTTTGGATGCTTTGAGAAGGCAACAGCAAGAACGACATTTCAGGATCTTTTTCACTTTTGTTCGTCATAGACACTCCGTTACTTGAAAAAAAAGAAAACACCGACTCAGGTGGGCTGCGGTCAACGCCACCTGGTCGTGCCTTCCGCCTCTTGGCGCGGTCAACGCCAATCGTGTTCTTCGGATTGCATGGGCAACAGGTGTTTTTCGGATGGCGTCCAGGATTGGTTGTTCTCTTGAGTCGATTGCAGATTCAAAGAAACTGTGTGAAATGTGATTCCAGACCAAGGGACGTGGTGTTGAAAGGGGTTCCTTTCCAACTGAACCTGAAAGCGAAGGCCCTACGGCATGAATTCCAGTGGCTTGATGATGACCATCTTTCACGGGGAGGACTTTCAGGCTGGGAGGACATGGTTTTCACAAGAAGTTGGGCCAGCAGATGTCAGCAGTACATGTTGTGATTCGCTGAAGCCGGGCTTAGCGCTAGCAGCTGTACATGTTTGAGACAGTGCGACGTCGGCAGGAGTTCTTTTCCGAAGATCAGGCAGAACCCACTCGGTGACGGCCGAAGAAGCGCACGGCGGGCGACGCACACGACGCAGTCGAAGACCACCGAATCGCGGCCGAATCCCCCACATGAATGCGACAATTCCATACGAAACACTGCGAGTGCTTCTCTTTGCTTGCAATCTCCAGTTCGATCAGGGCGTTTTTTTGGCGTCCGTTCGACACAACTTGCAGGTGAAGACCTCCAATCTCCAAGCTGTTAGGTGTGGACATCCAGTTCAATTGACCTTGATAGTGGAGGTTGTCCTGAGATCGAGTGGACAAGATCTGCTGGACACCATGAGCGTTGCAATTTTGTGTTCTTCATGGAAACCCAGGCTGGCGGAAGCTCGTATGGCTGGATGTGTGTCCAGGCGTGACGCAACAGTTGGAACATGCTGGACCTGGAAGTAGCGATCGACTCCAAGAGCGATGGCCTCCAAACGAATTAGTACCAGTTGGCCTCGAAGGTGTTGGGCCGTCCTGATACAATCCTGTTGCCACACTGGCCAGCCCTTTAAAAAGACTTTCGATCGAGTCCGTACTGATTCGCTTCTCTTTCGCGTGCTTTTGGCTCCAAAAAGAGCAGCATGCTCGTAGTACTTGGTGGTGAACACATGGGTGTTTTGTTGTCACACATCTTGACACAGCTTAAGAGTGAAGAAATGCAGTTGCCAGAATGGCATGCGGCATAGTACCGCATGAATTCAGGTGGATTCCCATGCTTCTCACTATTTCAAATTTTAAGGCACAGAACAACACCTGGAAGCCATGGCGCTTCGTGTTGTCAACATGGCAGGTGAAGCAATCTTGGAGTCCAACTTGGAATCTGAATCTTTGGAAGATTCTCCAGACTTTGCCAGCCACTCTGATCATGAGGGAGTCGACAGACCTGACAGACCTTTCCTCCCGATCATGGATGTGTTTTTGCTCCTTCCTTCCTTCCTTCCTTCCTTCCTTCCTTCCTTCCTTCCTTGCCCTTGCTTGCCATTCCTTGCCAACTGTCAGATGGTCAAACTGTAGGACCAGAAGACCAGAAAGACTGCAGATGTTTGATCATGTTTAGCTGTAGGACAAACCATGCTGGTCTACCAAATGCACTTTTTGTAATTGTTGTGAGACTCCTTTTCAGGTGCTGAAACCTGAATCAATTAATTGAATTTAATTGGGCTGTGACCCTTCAAATCCTGTCGAAACATCTTGGCCAGCGATTCAACCTCGCGACTGAGAGTGCAGATGCGGGTAGCGACCGTCGTTACTTCGTTCGGTACTGCGTGCGGTAGACCGTCTTGTCTCAGGTTACGTGAAGGATCTCGTACAAGAGAAGACGGGCTTCCCACGCTTCCGCCTCACCTTACTTCTGGACGGTGGGAAGTCTTGGGAAGAACTCGGACACCCTCGAGAAATCCAAGCAGTTCCTTGGACAGACGGGATGGATTTTTCCTTCAGGAGGAACGGATTCTTCAACTGTTTTTCACGCAAATGACGAAACTGATGATGTTCCTTGAGCAACTGATTCTTCGATCTGTTTTTCACATACGAAGAACTGCAGTTCGAACTGCCGTCACCGTCGTAAAACCGTGCGATGCTCAGCAGGTCCGGAACCAAGCTGCCACAGACATGGCCGATGAACTGATGTGCCTGGGGCTGCACTGGCTATACTGGCTGAAACACAGACATGTGACCTATATGGTGTTGCAGACCGCTCATCATAAAATGAACGCACTGCTCTCTTGCTGACATCCAGTCTTCGCCAGCACGAGACTGGACCAAAGTCGGGTGCACAGCTTGGTGCATCAAGTTCAGTCCCTCCAGTTCTCAGTCTTTGAGAACCAGTGTGTCACGTTATCCAGTAACAAGTGCCTTACTAGTAGTAACAATAAGCTACTAGTAACAAGTGCCTTACTACTAGGAACAAGAAGCTAGTAGTAACAAGTGCCACGCTACTAGTAGCAAGTGCCTTACTACTCAAACGACTCAGGATGGCGATCTACCAAAAAGACGCAGAGCGAGCGCGTGGGGTTCTGGAGCCACTTGGTTCCAGCGTAGAGCGCGAGCGCGTGGAGCGTTTCTCGTGTCGCGAGCACGGACTTGGTCGAAATGGGAGATGAAAACGTTGACGTGATAGAAATGAAATGAGAGATGAAGGCCGCAGCCTCACCAGCCCAAATAATGTAGATGCATCGATGTTGTTTGCAAGAAGCAGTCGGCCTCAGAATCCACCAAGAAAGACTCATCAGGTATGGATGCTGCTGGTATGACTTTTTGTCGCGAAGCACGCACATTTTTCCCAGGCAACGCCAAGATCCGAATTGTCAAGATGCTGATGGGCACCCTGCCATCATGGTCGCTGCAGCTGTAGGATCCCGAGATATCTTGGAGATGCTATTGCAGGTGGGCTTAACATATTCAGAGATGATGGAAAACATTTGTGAGAGATCTGATGTTTCCACCAAGGTGTGCATCCATCATTAAATCCCAACTAGTGCTCGAAAGAAGATTAAGACGTGTCCAGGATTGTCCAGGCGTTTGCCACCAGTTATCGAAGTCTCGAAGAGAAAAACTGAAGTTCCAAGTGACCTCAGACTTACTTTTGTGCAACATTCTGGGAAGATTAACTTACACTCTGACTCACTAACATGGAAGTGGAAAATGGGACCCTGGAACACTGCTATCCTCTACAAACAGGGGGTTTTCCACTTCCATGTTAGTGAGTCAAAGTGTAGTGGCACACGTCTATTGAAACCCTTAAACAAACCTGTCCCAGGCAGGTGCCGATTCAACCGCTGTAGACGAATTGCTTGAAACAGCTTTACATGCTGCAGCTGAAGCCGGGCAACTGGAGTGTGCTGAAGTGCTCCTGGAGAATGGTGAGACACTCCAGTTGGTGAATCAACCACAGGAGGCAGGTTTGACCCCGTTGCATATGGCTTCCCGGAATGGTCATGTCGAAATGATTCGTTTGTTGCTGGACTTCGGCGCATGTCGAGATGCCCGCGACCACATGGGTGTGAATGCATTGCACGTTGCTGCCGAGTATGGCCAAGAGGAGGTGGTGGAATTTCTACTGGAGATCGGGATGGATATCGAGGCTCAACATATCTCAACAAGCCTTGAGAAATATGTGAAAAGACGGGCCATGTTGAACATAGTTGAACCAGCTGCATCAAGTTTTTCAGTCATGAAAGGCCCTCAGGCAAGCGCTGCATAGTGATAAAGCATGCTAAACCCAGAATTGCCAGTGCATCCACCGTGGAAAACCCCACCGAATCCGATGGTGACGTGACGCCCTTCGGCAAAGGCAACAGAAGAGGCAGGTGCGACAGCTCTCTATTTGGCGGCTGAGAATGGTCAACTCTCAGTGGTCAAGGCCCTTGTGGAAGCTGGAGCTGAAAAGAATGCTGCAGATGAGGCAGGCGCTACAGCAACTGGGAGCTGCATCCCAGTAACCTCAAGTGGAATTTCATTCACGGCAGGAAATTGACCAAAATATTCATTTAGGGGAGGAACGGAACGATGCTGGAATTCCGCTGATCTGACTTTTCGATGTTTCACCGGGAAAAGGGGCATTTTTAGGATTGGCATCCTGGGGACGCAACACCGAAAGTGCACACGGTCAGCTGGAACAAACGAAGGCAACACCAGACATCAGACCACTACACTCCTTGGAACTCACTACTCCCTGTCAGCGCGGAGAATGACCATGAATGACCCCGAGTTCGGAAGACCATGAAATCCACGAACCACACGAACCATGGCACAGTGCCACTGTTAGTGCCATCCACGTAACCATGTTAGTTCCAGTAGTTCACCACTTCGCAAGTGAGGCATTGTATACCGCATGCCAGTACGGTCACGCAGATGTGGTGGGGAATCTCGGTGCATCTCAACAGCTTTTTCATGTGTGTTTTTTTCCCCTTTTCAGCTCCTCCAAGACAGAGAGGAGTGTGCTTGGTGTTGTGATGGCCATGTTGAGTATTTCAGAATCAAAACTATTCAAGATGGTGTTGGCCATGGAGCGTCATTCTTCACAGATTCCTGCAGGTATTTGGTGTCAGCAGGTGCTGACCGGAGAAAGTCGAAGAAGTATGGAGGTAGCCCAATGAGCATCGCAACATGTCGTGGTCATATCAAGGTTCTTGATGTCTTGGAAGGCTCCCCACGACGCAGCGATCTTCTTAAAGAGATCGCAGCACTTTTGGCGCATCGCGAAGACGCATGTCGCTGAGCGAGCCGCGTCGTCGGCTCACGCTCGACCGGGGTGTTTTCGACGGGTCCCCCCCGGTGGTTTCACACGATTTGACAGCCCGGCCGATGTCGGGATGATGTTAGTTCGGTCAAGTGTAAGGCCAGAAAGCGTGTGGCGGCGACTGCTTGCGGCGACTTCATTGGGGAATGGACACTATGGACAATACACGGGTGGAACAGCAAATGATTCAATCTGACCCCAAACAGAAAAAAGAAGCTGAGCTTCTCCGCATGTTGAGCGCTTTTGGAGCAATTCCAGCCCTGCTAGGCCCACCCTGTCACCAGCGCCATGTCGAGGACAAGCAGCTGTGGGCTTAGAAGTCGGGCGCAGCTTGGTGAAACCTCAGGAAAGATAAGACACACGTTTTGACATGAAGCTAGGTAACAGGACAAGGAGGGATCAAGTTTAATTTGCTCATCAAGGGATTCTAGAGGGCGATTGCAAGCGATTGCAAGCAACTCTTACACTTTAAGATTCTGGTCTCATGTTGTCACATGCTTCTCATGGATCAGGCGGCGGATTTCGCGACACTTCTCCCGCCATGGGAGGCTTGTGCGTGTTGGATCGATCATATGGTTAGATGTATTTTCCTCATGACATCGATTCATGGAAGACATCATGACAAGATTAGATCTGTTCCTTATCAATAGTTTCATCATTGCAATGTACAATGAGATTGCAAGGCATCTCATTTTAAATGGCATCATTTTGATAATATGGGAATAATGATTGTTAAAAATACTTATATATATATATGTGTGGCAGGGACCTTTTGGTAACATTTCGTTGCGGATGAAAAGCACCGGCACATTTCTCACTAGCGCGCACAGGTCTCATTTGCCCATGCCACCACGCACAGGGGAAGGAGAAACCGGACGTCGCGGGTCCTTAGATCGGTTTCTCATTGTTTTTCATTGTTCAATTATTGCACATGTATATTGGGAAGCATGCGTTGCAACTAATGAATCAGCCAAAGCGTCGTCCACTGATCTCTGGCCTGCGTGAAAATTCTCCCAGTAGAACACTCCTGGCTTTGTGCCTTGGATACAAGCGCTGATGGCTGATGGTTCCCGAAGCCTAGAACGGTTGGCATGACGTTCAAAAGCTTGTTACGCTTTTCAAAAGAGTACGGCCGCTTTTGCGTTCAAGCCAGGCTGCGGCTTTCGATCTTGCGCCAGCTCAAGTTGTACGCCTTTTCCTCACAAAGGTACCGATTGAAAAATCTTTTCGATAACCATCAACCGGATTGATTCCCGCGCAGATATGAACATAGTGCTTGGTGAATTCAATTCATGAGTGGCTTCGTGCCAAAACAAATGAGGCTCCCAAAAGCCACGTGATCATACGGTTGAAAGAGTTAAAAGAATGTCTCCGTCATTTTCGCATGCCAATCATCCTTGCGTCTTTGCAACGCGTCGAACCATCCTTTGGAAGGGACAGAGGCCTCCACCATTTCCTCAGCGTGCAACTCTGAAACGCCCAGGGCGCATTGATTGAATTGTTTGTCCATGTCGGGCCGCCAGAAATATGTTGATTTGAGCGTTAAACAAAAGTTCCTGCAACTCCGTAACTTGCCCGCAATTCTGCCAAATCTGAGACCCTGGCGTGCCATCTGGGCTTGAAGCCCCTGCCAGGTGGTGCGGATGTAAATGGTCTACGCAGGTAAACTGTAAAGAAAGAGCCACTCTTGCAAAGCAATACATGTTCTTTTTGGTGGCTAGAATCAGACTCTGCTCCACATGGATTGTGAAACTAACAAGCGCAAAACACAAGCCAGAGCACAAACCTATGTACGTTTTTGTTGAAGCATCAGCTTTCGTAAGCTCAACAAATCATATGTTTCTATGTTCGCTCGGCACCATAGTTCTAGTTTCTCTTTGGAGCGGCGTCCTACACCACCGGAGTATGGATTTCGTTGCCCGACTCACCTTTCTGCACCCGGAATACAATCCGACGGGTCTAAAGCATTGTCTCCCCAACGACGCACTGGCCTTGCCACCGTGGACACCATATACATCGACGGGTCCCGTAGCTCCTGGATGGGGCAACCACATACCATGACTTACAAAAAAGAATAAGCATGAATAGCACGTATATTGTTGATGCTTTGACAGTTTGCATGGCTTTTGAAGAGTTTGTTTGCTTTTGTTGTGTTTACTCTTCTTCACACTCCGCAGACCTTCGCAGGACAATGATACTTGGCTAAGATCCTTTATCTAAGCTTACTGTTCTGCTTCGACTCTTCACCTCCACCTCGCCAGATCCCCGATTCGACGAAGCGGGTGTCCTTGGACTTCTCAAGGGCAAACTCCAAGAGCTTTGCCGCATGCTGTGGCGGAAGGCCTGGGACATCGCAAACATCCGATGGTTAAAAACACAAAACAAACAATGCACTTCCAAGTCTGTCAAAAGAAGTCCTTCATCAAAAGGATTCTGATCAAAACCTTTCAACCAGCTCTGCTGCATTCTCATGACTCAAAGCAAAAACACAAGCTTTCAACTGTGGGGAACTTGAAATCTCCGGCCAGTAAAAGATATAGAGCACCAGCTGTAAGAATTTAATTTGATTGTCATGGAGGAGTCGAATTAAAAATGCAGCGGAGCGCAATCTCAGAATCCACAACTGAGTGTTGACTCTAACATCAGAGGGATCCGGAAACAAGTCCACAAGCTTCTGGTGCCGGGTGAGGAGTTCAACAAAAGGCATCATTCCTAGCTGACATGCAGCCAACTGTTTGCAGACCCGTTCGGACTGGTCAAGCAGGCGCCACTCTCTGACCGCAGGAACCGGTCCATACTGCCCTGAGCCTTCGATGAGTTTCTCTAGGCTTTCCTCCCCGTGAAAGCTGGCAAATGTTTCGAGCGCTAAAAGCATTTCGATGTGATAGAAACGCTGTGGCAGGCGAGAATCTGTGGACGACATCCAAGCTGGCAGGCATAGCAAATGCAAAAAGTGAATAGCTTCAGCCATGTGCCTTAGGTGGCTTTGTCGAGAGGTCTTGTCAAAGCAACTGGATACGAACAACATGTCCGTCATGTACGGGTTGCAGCGGACTTCATTGAAAAAGAAAGCGAAGAGGGAGAACTCCAGCAGTTTCAGCTTCTGATCTCTCAGTAAGCGTAAAAAGAATCCAGTCGAACGCAATCTAAACTCCCAGAGCTTTGCGTCACCATCTGCATCCAAGGGATTAGGAGCGATCCAGAACAAATGGGGATGTTCTGCAAGGACTGACTCCACCAGACTCATTTCCTTTTGGTACGCAGCCAACTGCCGAAGAGCCACCCTAAGATCACAAGGCGGAGTTGCCGGAAAGCAGAAACGCAAGCGGAGGACATCTTGTGGCCTCGATGCTGAAGGTCCTTAGATAGTGGCACATGGATGTAAGAAAGAATAGAAAACTTTCTGATTAAGTCGCTGCGGAAAAAAAGAACATGGATTGAACATGTCACATGTCCGAGCTTCCACCTCCCAAAGCGTCACTGGAAGAAACCGATTGATGTAACCACCTCCTACCCTCTGAGCGCAAAAGCCTCCTGCTTTCGAGGCATGCAGCTTCCCATCTTCTCTTTGATGTGCTAAGGAATGGGTTTGGAAAAGCAATGACTAGGCTCACCCTTTCTGATGTGCCTACACCACTGCACTGCCTCAGAAAGGACATGTAGACTGCTAGCCTCTTCTTGCTGTGTGCGACTGCACGCTGCTCAAGGTTTTCTGGCAAAGGCAAGTGGCTAGCGAAAAGCTGTCTAATTTCGGCAACCTTGCATTCCCACAGGTCTACATCAAGACACATCAGGTCTGCAAGGTGACCGAAAAGGGTGGGGCTATGAGCAAGCAGTGTTTGGAACTCACTACAGATGCGTTCAAATTCTAGCACTTGCTCTTCCCACTGGCTGCTGCCACCACGCACATCATGTGTCGCCGCTATTTGAAATTCCAGAAGAGCATTAGCTTCGGCAACCATAAACGGCACTTCATCTACAAAGGGAAACTCTCCATTGTCAGGGTTGCAACCGACGACGAACATGCTATGGATGGTTGTGCCATAATATTTTTCCAAAATACGGCAGTAAATGTTCAGCTGCAGCCGGTAGTGCCATAAAGCTGCATCTGGCAGGTGCGCAACGGGGCTTCGCATGAACTTTCCAAATCCATTGCATTTGTTCCACATGCATTTGGACCGCTTCCAATCACAAAGTACCAGCGATCCGTCCGACCGCACTCCAACGAAATCGATGGAGCCGGCCAAATTCTCCTCTGTGGCAAAAACTGCCCACTCCGTACGGAAAGCCATAACTCCAGACATCTTTGCATCGATGAACTTTGCAAAGAGACCCACTTCTGTGGACACGTGCGATAGAAAACCACCGTTGAGCAAGCACTCTAGCTCCATGTGCATCCATGTGCCTTGCTTCGACGCATCATCAGCGTTTCTGGTCCAGACCTTTTTGATTGTTGCGTCAGACATGGAGATCAAATCGACAATGTTGTGAAGATCTGGATGCTGCCGCACGATATTCTTGACCAACTGACAGATTTCCACATTTGGGCGCGGTTTGATGCACAAAAGATTGACCAGCTCTTTGGTGTGAACTGAATCCCTGAGGAAGCAGAGCGTGTCCTCAGCCACATAGGGCTTCAGGTATTCCGGACGTGGCCAATTCGCTCCGGCTCGCATGCCCGCAATTACACAGTCAGGGTCAAATGGCTGCGTGAATGTGTGGATGAGCTTGGTCACTGATCCAGCCGTTGGCGTCCCATCCCAGAAGTACATGTGATCACGTGCCTCGAACACCAGTCTCGCGTCTCTGGGATGGGGATTGGAGATTTTCAAATGGTCAATGATGACTGGCCAAGACTTAACAGTACACCATTGTGTGGGCGGGTGTGGCATCACGCTGCGCCTGACGACGCCGGCGCGAAGGATATCTGGCAAGATACTGTCCATCTCAAGGCTCCGCAAACTGAAGAGGTTAATGTTGCAGAGTGTGGAATTGGTGCTGTCGATCCTAGCTCCACCCTCCAAACGGCGCTTCTTGGCTTCCATTGCCACAGACCGATTGTGTGCAATGATTGTGTGTTGAGGCAAAGCACCGCCTTGAACCTCGA